GTTCGTTAATATTAGGTGAATATCATGCTTGGCATTTCATTATAAAGTGTTTGCCCCCAAGTGATGTTTTCCCCTACAAATAATTTGAGAGGGCACCATTGACCAAACTTCATATAAACAAAAATAATTGCTGTTAGAATTTAAAAAGATAGTCGTTAAGAGAAACGACATGGTCTTATGAAGCCGCCAAGTTTGCTAGTAGTGTATTGTATCTGACCATATTACAGAATATTTTGTCCTATAAACGTATTGAAAAGTACTTTTATTCCTGATTAACACATTTCATTAAAACTTTAGCATAAATTAAAGGACAGGAGGAGGAACCCAGGTTCTGATATGCGTTAGGTACTGAAATTAAAAAGTGCGCTACAGTGGGTGTAAAATTTTGCACTTTGGCTTGTTCCCTCCAACAAAGGACAAAGTTATAGTAGTCATTTATGGTTCGAATTAAATTTTGGAAAATAGCTGAATACCTTTGATATATTCAGAAGGCTTTACTTGTATGCACACTATAAACACTTCTGCCATTTAGCAGATATGAAAAGGAGAATCCCACCTGTCTTGGTAACAGCATATGTGGGGGAAAGAAACAGGTGGATTTGCGAGAATAGTGGTTGTGAATACCTTTACTTCATTTCCGTGAATGGAAGACGATTTAATTGTCAACCTTTGCAAGAAGTTTTTGTTAGTTTACATGCCGAAGTGGGTGGGAATCTTACTTTTCCAAATATTCAGCATTCTGGTACGTTAATTATTCTTTAGCACTTTCATAATGGACTAGTTCTCTCAAAGCTTACAAATCTGACATCGCTAATTCAACTATTATCTCGCTTATATATACTAATGTCTGTTATATTTAGAATGTGATAATCTAGTGCCATCAAAGTTACTCTTGTGGCTGAGAAACATAACATCTGGGCAAATCAGAGGTCAAGGAAGACGATAAATATGATTTCCCCTTCCTTCTACCTCCTTCTTTCCCTTTCACAAGTATGGTGTAGAATTTTAAATGATCTTTTAGAGACGGCTCCTTCTCTTAATTACTTTACTGGACCTTGACATTTTGAAAAAAATTTTAAAGTGAATTCTGTGGCTTTTATTGATTAAACAATTCATATCAAAAAACTCGCTACCACTGTATCAAATATGGTCTTCTGAGAGTGGAACTGTGCATACCTCAGAAATGTTAGATGAAATGGTAAGTGAATTATTCGGAGAGAACCAACAGTACATTCGCCTACTTAACTTTGGAATAATACAGCTACCTTTTACCACATTTTAGTCATTCAGTAAGGAAATCCCCTTCTAAAGGCGGGGTCTACTGCATACGTAAAAGAAGTGAAGGGAAATATATTATTCTACTTTGAAGCAGGAAGTAGCGTAGCATTGTAGGTAGGCGTACATCGGGAGCACACGTTAATCATCGTCGTCTTATGTGCGCTGGATCCATGCATTTGTCACCCATAACGTCATCTATGAACGAATTGAAATGTTCCGTATTGCTGAAACTGGTGTGTTGGATATAGAGCCTTAAGCGTTCAACTGGCAATAGAAAAGTGACGGGGAAAATTTGTGCTTGTAGATGTGCTATAGGATCTATTTGTTATTATTAAGTCTGCTTCGAGGTCTGATTCGTAACGGTCAAAAAAATTAATCAGAAATTTTATTTAAAACGGTCTTATATGTCATGAGGCATCGACATTACCGTGATGGCACCTTTGGCTACCTGTAGGTTGAATGCGATGTCGGTGTGCCCTGTGCAGTAGACGGCTCTTGGTGTCCGTGGTCAGGTACAGTAGTGAAGTGCTCTGCAGCCTGTGGCGACAGTGGAATGGGACTGCGGACTCGGCTTTGTGCCTGTCCCTCTCCCGCCCACGGTGGCAAAAGCTGTTCTCTGCCCCCAGGGGCCAAGGAGGCTGCAATGCTTGCTCTTTCCCATCTCCAAGACGCCGCTATTCGCAAAGGCACCAGCGGTGGTAAAGGGGATGGCGATGATGACTTTCCCATGCCAACTGCCGCCGATATTGCGGCAATTGCGGATGGCTCAGGAAAGTAGGTTACATCCCCAGCTCTCATATTGCATTGGAAGGAGCTGTATCTTTGGTTACATGGCTATTGCATCCGTCTGTCCAGTTACGCAGTTCGTTAAATTGCTACGCGTGCGTATGAGTACGCCCCCCTTCAGGTTTCCAGCTAGAAATTTAGAGATAAGGACTGTAGTAAGGAGGTTATTATTGCTAACTGGTGCGAGCAAGCTAGGGGAATAGCGTGTATGTACGCTATACCTTCGGTTTGACTGGTAAGTACTACGGGTGGCCATGTTCTTGCTCATTTAAGGTATTTTGATTGGACTTGGCCTTATGTTTGTTATTAACCCATTCCAAGTCCATGAGTATTCGAATATGGCCAATCAAGGGAACAAGGAGAGAGCGCAAGCATTGGTGCTTTTTGAGGGACCGTTTTCTGGAATTGCAGACATTCACAACAGGAATACTTGCATTCGCACTACACATGTTTAAGAATTCGATGCTGAGGCTAAAATTCGCTACACTCAGATTAAACTACATCGACAGGCGTTGGCTATCTATCTTGTTATTGCTTCTGATGACCTGAATTAGTTGATTAAATCCCATACTTCTGATCATTTCCGATAGTTTTATGCTTCAAAATTTCTAAGGGGCACTTATAAGGCAAGGAGGCTGCTCGTAATTATCTCTGCTGATTTGACAATATTTACACTAGTGATGTTTCCCCAAGCTCTGCACAAATCTAACATTTTTGAAAAAAATGGCAATTTATTTGTCTTTTATTGCTAATTACACGCTCTTAATGGTTACCGGAATCGGAGTGTTCAAAATTTAGAATTTTGTCACTTTAATTATATTAAACAGATTTTAATTTGCGAAAACGTGTACAGAGTCCTCCCTCCTATGTATTGGTATGGCGGATCTCTAAGTGTTTTTCGAACACATGTTGACTGCGTGTATTGGAATGACTGCCTGGGCTGTAGGCTGGCAATCAAGCCATCACGGCTGAAAACTTCAGTAACCCAAACAACTGTTGATTATTGAATACTTGGCAACATCCGAATGCCTTACTGCTTCACAGTCGAATGTACCATCATCCTGCCGCATTTTGCCTGAAGCCATTTATCCTTACAAGATAATATCCGCAGGTTAGGGTGCTGCACCCTCGTTTACAGGGAATTTCATCACCACCAAGCGCTACCGCACACACACACACACACTCTATCATCGTTGCCTGTTGTCTTGACCGGTAGTGTTTAAAGCAATCTACATGAATACACATGAACAGGCTGGTTGTTAGCAGTTGTTACATCACACGTGTAGAACTGCTACGTTTGCACCAACTTCTATAGCTGTTATGCCTAAATGCCCAATCATTACTCAAAATGGAAGTTAGAAACAATGTTCAATCTTCTCAAGTTTCTTTTTTTTCGTGACTGACACCAACCACTATTCCTATTTTAAATAAGAAGAAAGTATTTTTAAAATCACTCTGTCAGACAAAGTGGTGAGAAAGGGGCATGCCTACTCAATTTTTGTTGCTTTTAAATCAGATCCTCTGGGTCAGGAATGTGCGAAGGGGAATGCTATATAATAATATAGAGCTTTTATGTGTTATTTTCACTGATTACTTCCTGCCTCAGATGGGATGCCTGCAACAGAAAGTTCTGTCCCTATCTCAAACGGCTAACCGATTTCGAGGTGAACATCACAATTGACGACTTACGGCTTCAGCGGCCCGAGGATGCCTGGCTATGGTCGGGCGGTATACCCTCCAGTCAACACGACCCTGTGGGGCTGCACTGCTCTCCTCAGCTCCGGTCTCGAACCGAAATCTACGATAAGCGCTACCGCTTCCCCCGTGCTCGAGCGATGTGGACTCGCAGTGTTGGTCGCTCCGAGTACCAGTCATATGACTTTGTAGGCACACCTCTGCGTGCTAACCGAAGGTTGCAAATCTTGAGGGACCGGCTCATTATTCGTAGTCTAGACGAAGATGATGAAGGCGTCTATCGATATGGGTATGAGTATGAACCTCTGCAGTTCGCCACGATTTGTTTCTTTGCTGTCTATCTATCGGATAAAGTGGTGGTAAGTGATGAGATTATTACGAACTGCAAATTTTGACTTTTACTTGTCTTTCAAGGTAATAGAAAGTGGTAAACCTTTTAAACTCACCTGCAACGCCAAAGGTCTATGGCCTATTATCCAACAGACTCCCAAGGATAACTGGAAAACCTTCTGGGCCTATCGTCCAGATGCAAAAGCTGCATCTCTCGGCACAAAACCAATCGAGAAACTTTGGTTGGTGGATTTGAAACCTCCTCGCATTATAGAGGAGGAAGATATTTTCATGAATACGACTGAAGGAACCATGGTTATGACACTTTTTGACACTGAGAGGAGACAGTTTGATGCTGTGGCCTATGCTATGAGTGGATACTACCAGTGTATCGTCCAAAACTCACCAAAAGGTCTAGGTGAACGTAATTTTGTCACAAATGCCGTCCAACTAATTGTAGTTTCGCCTCCAACTCTGACCGAAAAGGTATGTCAAGTCAAAACAATCGAATATCTCTACTGACAAGCTCTTAAGTAAAGGCTTTAAATCACTTTTATTCTAGTTGAGGAAGTGGATTGTCAAACATTGGAGAGCAATTGTCTACCTACTTCTTACGCTCATGGTTGTCGCGCTGTTCTATATGTTGCTGATTAGACTGAGAGCTGGACGCGTGGCTAGTTTGAGAAATTGGGAGGCTCTCGAAGAGGCGAAAAAGCGGGCGAAGCTGATCACAGCTGGAGAAATTAAAGTCAAAACGAAATAAGTGTAGACTTATTGCATATTAATGTTATGCAGCTTTGAATATATGTTTTCGGTATTTGCCATTGAGTCTATTTAATACGTATATTGGGATCACACTATACTATGATTTAAATTAGGGAGTAGTAGTGTCATCACTCAATTTTTTACAAATTGTAGTGTAAACACTTTCCGTATTTGCTAACGTTAACTGTGATAACAAAAAGTTATTGTCTAGATAAGCAGATAACTTGAAGACATAGAAAATGCCAGAATGGTGTCAGCTTTGTTGCACTACTGTGCCGAGATTTCATCCCTTTCTTCATTGGTCGCACGTATTTAAGGAGGAGAAAACAAGTTGGATGTTGATCAGTAAAAAAAATGTATGTTACATTAAGAATTGCCGAAAAGGAAAGCTTTGTCAATTGCGAAGGTTTTACACCAAATGCAAACCAGACGACTAATTTCATGCGTTTTTTTAAAGTGGGCATCTTTTCAATTATAAGTGAAAAATCAAGGTAATAGTTTAAAACACCTTTGAAAAATTGTTGAGAGAACCATATTTGTGCTTTAGTAACTCTATGGGGCTGATTGGTGACTTCGGCATTATGCACATGGGACTACCCAATCAGTTAAGAGAAGCATATGAGCAGTGTGCGTGTAGCGGCATTTTAAACCAATCCCAATCAGGGATGCGGCCGTACCCTCTATCGGACCTTTAAATAGGGTATGTGCTCCATACTTTCACTAAGTGGTCCCATGGATACATTTTCAATTGCGGCGCTAGCAATAAGCGATCAAATAAGAAAAATTCCGGTAAGTTCCTTTAAACCATTATTTACAAGGTGTCAACTAGGGTGATTTTGCATCGCAATATGAGACACAAGCTTTGAAGTCCCATCTCTAAAACCTAACAATCCAGAACAAATTCCTACCATTTTTATCTCACCCTGTATTCCCTAATTGTCTACTTCACTTTACATAGTGATGGTGCTGTTGTTGATGATGATGTGTTTACATCTCCCGCCCTTCTCCTCCCTCTGCTTCTCTAAATTGTCATGTTTCCTCAAGGGTATGTTTCCCAAGAAGAGGGAATTTTTCCTGCATACCTTCTGTCTCATCCATAGCTACGATCATGTCTTCAAAAATATCACTTAAGTCTGCAGTGCACCACGCTACACAAAAAGCGGTCTTCGAGAGATGAAGTAATGATCTAAAATTCCGTTAGTGATATCCAACGGTTGTCTTGACTCATGTCATCGTAAGCGCCCTTAAGTGTGGCAGACGTCAACTAGTTAGCCCTTGATGTTAATTGCATGCTTATTGGTAGCGATATATTAGGCAACATGATCATGAATTTTCTCCAGTCGTCTACTCCAGAATCGTACAGATTGTATGAGAAAAGTAAGGTCTTATTGAAACACATAGGGAATCACTTAACCAAATCTCTTGGTCCAGTGTCTAAAAAACTTTTCAAAGCCTGGATGAAGCCCCCGTTTCTATTAGGCAAGACTACAAATTCAGTCTGACATAAGTGCAACTCTTTTAAGACAACGTAAGCCCGCATACTGCGCTTTAGTATGTAGGGGTTGGAGGGAGATACCGCCTCAGTCACCCTCCATATAGCCTTTGGGTGCTAAAAATAGAGGTTGCTGGGGTCCGACTGTTTGCTGCTAGAGGCAAATTTTTCTAAAAATGTGTAAAGCACGGTAAAAATTTCCCGTTCCCTCTAAACTTGTTACAAACTTGAACTAACATTAAACCATCAAGAATCAGAGCATCAACACATGTAATAAACACATTCAGCTTTACTGCTACCTCTCCTCTTTTCGTGAACTAGTTACAAATTCCATTACTCTTTGCTCTTGTGGTCATAAATGCCAGCTGGACGGTTGAAGCACACGGCAATCATCACATTAATCTTGGTTAGTTTCAAATTTCCATGCCACCTATAGATAGCGACTCCATAGAGAGAGGGTCTTGATTCTTCCTCTAAGCCCACATAATCAAGGTAAATTAATGTTCCCCCTACACAGTTTATCCACAATATCCAGTGCAGGGAAGAAAGTTGTTTATTCTCTAGTTCATTTTCTGTTTCAACTTCATAACTGCTCTGACTCCTGTGGCCAAAAACTGTTCACTTACGCTAAACTATCCGAAAAGGGAAAAGGCTACTGAAAACATGTTTGTGCTGAAACTTGCTTAGTAGGACGCGTCCGAAGGCAGTAGAATGGCAGTCTTTTTGTTCTTGTTCTTGATGGTGTTGGTGGTGAAGTTGCTTTGTGAACTTCAAAGGGCGCTGTAATTACACCTGCTTGGGGAAGCTCACAAAGACCCAGGAGAGATGTAACTCCCAAATTTTGAGTAGAGAAAGGGGCTACGGTGAGCAAAGGATGGGTAGGTGTGTGGCTTGAATTAACACCCCTACCACCACCATCACCAACAGCAGCTCCTCAGCTGAAACTCTCCTTTTTCGCTTTCTGCCTTTGCTTTACTCTCTAATTATCTCCTCAGATGATTTTCTGCACGGATAAACATTCACACATTCACCCCATTGTTGTCTACTTGTCACCTTGATGGACCAAAAACGGGTTTCTTAGTGTATCCAAGAGTGTTCATTATTAGGGTCACATATACGCGACACGCATATTTCTTATAACCATACAATTACAGTTTCTAGCAGATAGCGCCCCAAACAGAGTTGGTTGAGTTTAAAGTGGTAAACTTAGGATGTCATCAATCTGAAGACATTTATTGGTTTTTTGGCATGGCCATCAATTGAACCTACATACTGCGATCTACAGTGGTTGATTATGACCTGACACTTGGGTCACACACGAGTTGATAGTCAACTACACATTGCCGATCCATTATTTCAGTGCTTCCTCCAGAAATCTATCTGTTGACCCTTACCTGCAGGATTAGTCCCTCGATATCTGTTCCAAATATTCGTAGGTCATATACTTGGATTACTATATTACTGCCCAGTAAGAAGTTTCTAATTTTAAGTGATGCACTTTATAGAAACCGAAACCTCCACAATGGATTAGACCATCTCCCGTTGCAACGGAAAATCATCTTCCCTCCGTCAACAATGTTTTCGTGGAAATCTTCAGACTGCTCACCCTGCCTCACACGCCACCTCCTCTGCCTCCCCTTCTCCCTCCTCCACCAACATCGTTGGCTATTTGTTTAATGAATAGAGAGACACCACTGGACCTGAGTCGTAAGGCTGCTACCGTGGCCTCTGGCAGTGACACCATACAGAGGCGAGTCAAGGCCATCAATGGGACCTACCACCACAATCGTAATCATCATCACCACTACGGATCAGGGAAACAGCCGATTCCTCGTTGTTTTGAATGCAAACGACTGTTTCCAACTCTATGGGATCTTAATATCCACTTTCTAGGGGAACATCAATCGACCTTACAAAGGGAGTTCACGCAGAACAGGTCGTGGAAGACGTGTTCCTTGGAGAACATCTCGGTGCATGTAAGTCACACGTCTTTCTCACTAAAAGTTCCCAAGTTGAATAGGAACTTTAAGCTTATACAGCCAAAAATAAAAAAAGAACAATTTCGTGGGGTTAAAAAAAATACCCGGGAAGTTGTTTCAGTATTCTGCACATATGTCAGGGCGGCTGAGTTATGTGCGTTGTGGGCGTAGACCGAAATTGGAAAGCTTTCTTGTACCCAGCGTACATGTAACAGTTCGTTGCAATCGCAATTTTCTTGAATGTTTGTTCACCGTTACTATGGCACAACTCATCTGTTGTGTAATATCACAATGATAGGCGTCCAGAATTGGGCAGCCATTCCACACACTCAACAACCGAATGTTCACAATTATGACCAAGTGCCTTGCAGCGGGCTAGAACTGAATCACCACAACCGTGTTCGCCACTGACACACGCATGGCCATCTGGCTCTGTTGAGTTAGCTATCGCCATACTTTGCTGTCGGGAATAACAGTGTCTCCACTGAGCAATTCTGGTCTATGGCATATCCAACGGGTGCAAGTAGCACCTCCGAGTCCGCGTGCCACCGCCATGGTAAGTTCCTTTAATGTATATGTAGGATAAAAATGCGCGATTACATTTGTTTGGCATTTTACCTTCGGTTCGTAGCTCTTTACCAATGAAGAAGGTAACCAAAGGTGAGTTCAACACTGTAAAAGCACACAGCGAAGGCTGATATCGAATGTTTAAGTTCTCAGTTCATCTGAAATGCGGTACAACCGACATAATTTCAGCCTACTGCCTTGGGAGAAAGTGAAAAGCACAGTTTGCTTTTAAGCAGGAAAAAGTCATTTATTAGGAAATCGCCGTCAAAGCTAGACATCTTGGTGTACTCACATTCAGACACCATGCAAGAAAGATGAAAAAAGAAAAAAATTCATCCGTCAAAAATGTATTTAATAATGATGTTTCAAAGAGGAGAAGTTGACTCAATTGAAGTTCGTGCTATTAACCCAGTTAAAGTAATTTGTACACACCTAAAGCGATATCTCATTTAAAATGACCCGGTAAACTGATAAGTTGCCTTAATTTCTAATAAAATGTTGACAAATAAGGCGGCTTCTCTATGCACTTATTTATGTGCTGAAATAATAAATCCTACTGTCAGTAGCATCACGAGACACCGAGGATGAGGATGGGGTTGTATCCGTCATCACTCTCAGCCCAAAGAATGTTAATGTTGTACAAAAATAACTTTCTTCTGCTTGCTTAAATAGATCCATACTAACTGCACGTAGGTGTAGAATTGCGACTGTCGAGTGTCACATCCCACACGAGCAAGCATAGTCGTGTGAGGTTGGAGTGTTGCGTACCCCAGAGGTGCAGGATAGTGTGATTGGGAATAGGCGATGACATTTACGTTCGCCTAACACGGGTTTACGCGCATTACTCCTTCTTCATGACAAATTAGCAAACATTCCTTTCGCAACTACGCGTTTTTATCGAGCACGTGAGAGAGGGTGTAGGAATCATTAATTCATAGTCATTAAAGCTCCTTGTCTGACATCTGTCATCCCCCTCCCAGTTGAGTTGGGCACAAGCAGGCTGTTCCCTCGTTCACACTACGTAAAGGCAACCGCAAATTAGTGTCCGCATCTTAATTTCGGCAGTGGATCATCCCGAATGTTGTACATCTGTCATTAGGTGGTTCTCCACCACAAACAAGCGGTTTGTTAAAAGGTTCTCCAAGTAGCAAATTATTCTACACCCACACCTCCAAATGTCAAACAACGCATTTGACAGGATGCTTCGGGCTAATGTTGGGACGTAAAGCAGACGGGTGTGAAGTAATCATTCATGCAGAAAGAAGTGAAAAAAGGAATGCAGAGCCTTGTGTAGCGCTACTGGACTGACGCGCATCTCTTAGCTTCAAAATATAAATTAACAGTCTCATGTACTTCTAAATTCACTACAAGTTAAAATAGGCCTTTGCAGCAGACAGGCCTTCTTGGACAGTGAGAAAACCATTCTTATAAATGCAAAGTAAAGGGTTTTCAATCTTGTACCTTGTGACTTTGTAGCAACTCCAAACAACGCTGCGGAGAGGAGCAGTGGAGAGAACAGGTTATCCTTGCCCACATTGTGACTACTTTGCCAAGTGGCCAACCGAATTGCAGAAACACATAATGGTGCACTCGAAGGAGCGCCCACATCAATGCGTAATCTGTGGCCTGACCTACAAATGGAAGTGGGATCTGGGTCGCCATTTCGATAAGTCGCATCACCATGCCGTGAATCCGTACAAGAAGACTTGTCTATCCGTGAGGGCAGCACGACAGCAACAGCAAAGAGTGGCAAAACGGTCATCGGGTCATCGTTGTGGGCGCAGATCGATGGGAGTGTCTCAGATTCCTCTTCCACCATCTTCAGTCCATCTTCAACCTTATGTTCCTCCTTCACCATTTCCTAGTTTCATTTCACCCTTTCCAAATCCACAGTTTGGACAGTATTTTTGATGCTACGATAAAGGTGATAATGCTACAGCTGTGATATTCTCTGCTTATCCTGTTCTGACACACTCTAATTAATGCCCATTATTTCTTTTAAGTTGGTGTTTAAGCATGTGAACTAGGATACAGTCGAATTTTCTAGCAGAGTAACCAATCAGATAAAAGCTTCCATTGGAATGCCTTTATTGCCAACCGATATGAGTGAGCCGAGATTAAAGTGCTTAGGTACGTGAAGGCTGACTGCTAACAACACGGAATGGTCCTCTTCTCACCTATTTGTCAACAGTTTGCTTTTTTTGACTCCACACTTATAACCGACACATATGAAACCCATTTATACGTGATATTAGTCAAACAGGGAAGTTAGCCGAGAGCATGAGTATCAAGGTTGTCTAGGAAAGTTCGAAAATTAAGCAAGAATAGATACTCCTGGAGAAGCGAAACAAAACCGTTTATCATCCTAGCATCGATCTACCCACCCACTTGTCTGTCGCCCTATCCACCATTCTATCCACTCTAACCCTCCCATTCACTTTTAATACTTAATAAAGACATTCTCACCAGAGCCGTGATGCTAGTAAACCCACTGCCTATGCCATTTCTTTGTACCACACAAATCGGTGATCACGGAGTATAGATGTTTACCATCTATCAACGGTTTAAGTAGTTGCTATGTCGCATCTGTTATAAAACAAATCTGAGATTTATATCCATCCAGCACCTTTCTTTCAGCTGCAAAATGCTAATTGGGAAAGCAGGTGAAGCTGCTATTCCCTGTAATTAGCAAATCACAGTGATGGAGGCAGAGAAGCAGAGACCGAGAGAGAGAAGATTAATGTAGGGGAAAAAAAGACGGAGAAATGATCCAATAAGGCAGAATGCGTTAATGAGTACCTGTCAAAGGCGTCCTGAAAAGCGGGTGCAGCAGAGCCCCCTTTCTGCTGCCTCCCACCCTCATCATCATCACTAGATTTCGCTAAGTGAAGATGGTGTAGTCTGTAACTTCTTATCTTTGTGGTGAAAATATCTCCAGCACTAATTTACCTGGATTTCTGCATACTTATCCACCCACCCACGTTGCATTCTGATGGTACGTACGCATCACGACCCAAAGTGGTCTGATCAGAAATTGTCGGGAACAGTCTCAAAAATGCGTTTACTCCTGTTTTGACGAGAAATTATAAAAAATCGTTCCAGAGAGCCGATAAAGTACAAACTTGCTGCTTTAGCTCTTAGATGTTAACCCACACTTTTGACAAAACCAGCCGCGATATCTACGGGGTGCTCATAAAATTTTAGATTCTTTTTTAAATAAGAAAGTCAATGGGTACAGAAAGCTTTCCCATAATCAATCATCTCTCCAAATTTTTGTTTCCAGTAGTAAACAACCAGACCCTGTCCACTTTTGCGTCTATCTCAATAAATCCGTGCCATCTCATCCATTTTGCAGGGGGAAAGCTGACAGTCATCACTGGGAAAATAGGGGAAAACGGGAGCCCTGAAAGATTATACATCAGTACCTACTTTTCTGACATCTTAAAGTGCAAGGCTTCATGGAATGCAGCATTGTTTTCCTCTGTTTCACTAGTTCTAAGGTGGCTACTCCTAAAACACCCTCCAGTGGTACCTTATGGAGTGGATAGATGATAAGTGTCAATCGGCCATCAGTGGAGGAGCAAGTCCTAGTGATCAGTTGCGTCTGCAACACGAAAAAAACAATCTTTTGGAAGTGAAGTGGTGCATGCAGCGGAAGTGTCTACTGGATGAGACAAAAAGTCATTTCTTATTGCAAATCAGTCAGCAGACAATCCAAAATCCTCTAATAATACTTGTGACATCCATTTGCCAAGTAGCGTCCACAAGTTTTTCCTTCAGGAACAAACAACTAGATTCATCTCTTTTCACTTGAAAGTTGCTTGACATGTTATTAACCATCACCGGGAACGATGGATCTTCTTGAATATGGCTCGTCATCACAAGCAAGCGCATTCATGGAAAGCAAGTGGTACATTGTTATACTATCATACCTTCTCCAAATGCTATGCAACGATTGTGACAGGACGCTTCCATCACCTGTTTCAGCTTTATAGCCAGGTTACTGTTGGTACGTGAAATCGACGGGTTGGAAATACATTTACGGAACTGAAGTAGCATTTAATGGAGGGATAAGTGCAAAGTGGAATGTAGAATATCGCATTGTGCTGATAGATTGACGTGCACCGTCGGGTTTCACAATACGTATAAACAATCTCTTTCAGTTTCCAAGTTCCTTCAATTCCCACTAAGTCACAAGGCAGAGAGTAAAATGTTGAAAGATTCTCTGCGAAATTCAGAACCCACTCATCAAATCATATAGTAGTATGCGACAAAAGCTGCACGAGAAAATTGATGGTACAAGAAACCACATTTTCCTTCCACCTATGCGGTGTCAGGACGAGCTCCAAAAAATATAGCGCCACAAAAGAATGTTTAATAGTTCTCTTAATGGGAACTGAATGGAACACTGCATGGATTCCACTCCATATCTCTTTCGGCGCATTTTGTGTAGGTGCAGGAGCAGGATACCATACAAATCAAAAATGGTAAAATTTAAGAAAGTTAATTTTGGTGACAAATCGCTCCGGCCGTCCAATCAGCCATTCTGTATCCATCCATCCATTCGTCCATCCTGTTTCCATACGTCCTACAAAAGTCTATTTGTAAAAATTCTATACCGGAAGGTTCACCGAAAAACATCCCATTACTTTCCAACGTCAATGACTAATCATTGACAAAATTTCGCTTTAACACTCAGTTCACCATTAAATGAATACGAGCTTTAGAGATGTCATTTTATCTTAATAAAGAGGGATCTGCTCAACTGTTAAGCTCCTCAATCTTTATTATTTTTAAGAAGTATTCACGAAATTTGCAAAAAAAGGCCAAAATCATTCCCAAAAGAAGGCATATACACATCTTGCCTTTGTTTCCGCCCAAATTGCATGGGTGGGACTTGTTGCAGCGGTCAAGTTGTCAAGCGGAGAGACACACGTGGGGAAGGGGGCAGAAGGAGAAGGGGAGGTGATGGCAGTGCTCCCACCTTCTTTTCAAGCCCCATATAGCCACACCCGAGTGCAGATTATCCCACTACAGTTGGGCAGGCAGGAAGAAGGAACTTTGAAGTAGCAGAATGATTGCAAATGCCTCCTCCCCCCTCATCTAATTACAGGCAGCTGCTCGCTTCTTGGGTGCGGTCTAGGAGTCTTTGAGGAGGCAGGCATAGGGGGGGAAAGCGGAGTCCTGAAATGTCTCCCAGGGATGACAGGGGAGAATCCTTAGAGAAGGATGGAGAGAGGCTAATTATCCAGTAAAAAAAGATGTCTCTATTCGCCCCTTTTTGCCCACTTCTACGTGAAATTTTGGGCTTGACAAGGGAGACTCACTTCTGTGTTACCCTATCAAACTGCCAATAACGTTCTTCAGATTTGCTGCTTGTTTTGTGCGCCTTTGAGCTTTGATTGAATTGATTGTGGTGGTAATTGCGTCATTTTATTGCTGGATAGCAAGACCGTTATGGTTATGAAGTCTCCTTAAGATTTAGTTAAAATTTGGATGCAAGAACGACCTAATTTGAAAGTTATTCAGCAAATTTCCGTCTTTAAAGGTGTCACTTTCGTTAATATATCTGGATATCCAAGTCGCTCTGCAATGGCAGGTACACCAGTACGGATATTTTTAAACTCTATGGAAATTCTTCGAAAAAGGAGCTTAAACAAGACAAGTGTTAAAGGTGATGGGCCTGCGGTCCGATTGTTGATGGCACTTAGTACCTTCTTCAGTGTTTAGAAGTTGCGAAAACCCCTTGATCCAGGCAGTAGTTACTAAACACGTTCAGAAGGGACAGCTCACTATTTCATCTATCATTTTTTAACCATTCAATCCGAAATACAACAGTGAAATGGTGACGGATACCATCCAAAGATACTTGGTGGACCACTAAGGGTAAGAAATATTACCATCCTGTCAACTAAACTGCGCTGTAGGAAGATCTCACGAGTAAGCTGTAGTTTAGGGTCCTGTCATATCTTTCAATGTATTCACTATTTCTGGTGGTCTCGCAAGAAGAGGCTTTTTGGCACACTTGCGAGTTGTGACGAGTGGATAGACCACATCCGTAGACATGGCTGGGCATGAACTTAAGCGGATAAAGTAACAAATAGCTTAACGGTGGAAGGTGGATAGGCGTGTGCGCTCCATTGTCTGGCAAACAGTGGGATGAAAAACTCACTCGCCCCCATGACATATGCCTTCCCAACAGCACGTAAGTCTTAGGCAAGTGGAAGGACTGGGGGACGATAAACCAAAGCTAACTGTTGTCTCTGGGTGGATGTGAGCTCCATTGGCCTCGTGGCCTTCACCAAGATAATCATTTTGGCATTCATGCTGAACATCATCATCGACAATAGACGACCCTCGAGGCAATCATCACTAAAATTCAAAGCCTCGCAGAAGAGTCAAAGCCAATTCGTAGAGTAGGCATAGTGAAGTCAAATCGCACCCACCAGGCAGAAATCCACCAGTTGTATCGTACAAGTCTCAACGCGATATAATAGGCTACTTCAGACGGGAAACAAACTTTCTAGCTAAACGACACCTCATTTATCCACCATGTCTTGGTTCCAAGCTGTAACCCTTGAAAAGCAAAAGCGTGAAGTGTCATCGGAGCAGACTGTTCAAAATTATCTTCCAGTCGACCAACTTCTACTTAACTACCTCAGTAGCAATAACTGTCTATCGTTTCAAGATACATTGATGCAGAGGCTCAAAGGCTTACTCGCGCCAGCATCACATATATATGCCCAACACCACAGGCCGAATAGTGCACAAAAAACAAACAAATAGACAGTTTAAAACAGCGAAACCACTCAACTTATCCTGAATTGACAACAGCAAGTCGGCGCGATCTCCTAACCTTTACGATTCAAAGTTCAATTGCGGCAGCTACCAAAATATACGAGATGCACTAAGCGACCAGCAAAACCAATTAGACCCACCGATATTATTATAAAGTATGCATTTCACCGTATTTATGATGAACCCATTCCCAGTTTCATACAATCACAGAGGAGCGTTCAAATTCGACTAAAGCTTTGCACGAGGAATCCGCATCAACATCTGCACGGACAGCCAAACATACAACGAACAAGGTATAATGCACACTTTCAATGAAGATTCGAAAAAGATTAAACTAAATGGCATCACAGAAATTTATACACCAGAAAGAAACAAACCGACTGGGGTGGCTTATTTAACCTTATCAATTTCATTGAGGTGGAAAAAACCAATGTTCCGCCAATCCATTAGAATATTATCCAGATGATTATCAAAGTCAGCGAAGCCTTCTATAATGGACTCGTCCAAAAACGATTTGACAAACTCAGCGGCAGATTGCTCAACGGAAGGACTATCAAAGATAACTTGATGTAAAGAAAAGTTACCGCGAGGTCTCCTGCCAACTGCCATCACGCCTACAGTAGAGTGAAAAAGCTTCAGGAGAGAGGGATCGCAAACGATCGTTGCGCACGATGATTATATTGCCTTGGCTGCTATTTTCGAAAATCTTGTCACCAATTCGCGTGGCAACCAGATTTAGCCTAAAAACCCTAAACCACACAAAGTTTACCTACTCGTTGGAATTTAGCGTTTCATTCGCTTGATAGTAGCCACAAATTTTCCAGTTCATTGCATCACAGTAGACTTCAATTTGAGTAAGTGCAACTTCTATCATTGGAGTTAGAGTAAGGCATCCATGGAAAAGGGGAATACAGTCACGAATAACAAGCTTCCCACCAACAATATCGCCCAAGAGAACTCCGTTGACAGCGGCGTGTGGATATTTGGAAACGTGCAAAATAATTTTTGCAAAAGCAAGCGATTCTAAGTGTACAGGTGCCATACCCGATCACCTATCATGTAGCAAGGACAATCCACACGGACATCATCAACATCAACTAAAGGGAATGGCATTTGCTAGTCGGAAATGAAAGTTTTAGGCTTCTATCGACAAAAAAATGTAAAGATATCTTGCGGTTTAGTTGTCTAACATTTGGTTTGATTTGCATACTTTTCAAAAGTTTTTAAATTTTAGTAAATAAAACGACACTTAATGTTTTATAACATCACGTATGCGCAAAACTTGACAAAATAAAATAAACTGTATTGATAATAACAAAGGTTTGTTTTTACAAATGCTTTTTCGAAATTTAGCTTGCAGTAAGTATGATCCCGAAAAGTGCCTTTAGTTCCTTGACAAAAGTTTTCAACTTTCGTCATTTGGCTTAAATTGTTTTTAAAAAATCCTGCGTAAAGTTACTGGATAACTTTCCTCACCTAAACGGATTAGCGACAATTCGAATTTTGTGGGCGACCGCTCTTATCGAATATATTTGCTGACATCTACTTAGACAATCATCTATTCTTTTACAAAATATACCGTTTCTAGCGTTTTCTATCAATGGGAAATTATGCCTCAAGGCCCAGGTCTTTTTCAAGTTAACGTTATAGGTATTCGACAATTTAATTCTTCACAATTTTTTTTCAGTTAAGCAGGTAGTTATAAGTCCTCGAGGTCCTGCCGGAGCTCGGATGTTTGTTGAAGGGTATGTGGACGGGAAATTATCCTTCAAGACTCCCATTGCTGTTAAATCCTGGTCACCATCATGGAACCACTCTGCTTCTCTTATCATTACGCCTTATTCCTCCCTCCAATTCAAAGTCGTACAAGTTGTTAAGTTTGGACCAAATGCACTGGTTGGAGACGCCCATTTAGATGTTTATCCTATTTTGAAATCAAATGATGGAAAAGGTTTGGTGGTGACTCTAACTTATGCGGCTATAGTTCCTTCTACCCCACTGATACTCTCGGTATCCAAAAGAGATGGCCTTCGTGGAACTCTCATTGTGCATTTCGGTCCCCTCGAAGTCGACCTTCAGGTGACTCCGCCCCCTCCAGAAGTCCGGGAGCACCCTGCAGCTGAGGCACCCTCCCTTCCTGTAAGTTAGTTGGGTGGGATTCCATTAGTGCTCTTCTGTCTTGTGCGCGATTCAAACAACCTTAATAGTACCTGAACTACATTGTAGACACCTTCCAATGGCACTGGGGACGGCGGAAGTGCTAGTGCTTGCTCAACTGTTGTGCAAGTTCAATCCCATACTGGTTTCCACTTTTATGCAAATCATTCTAAAATGTTTTCTCTACGTGATCTTTATTCGTATACATAATCGTAACAAGCATAAAAAATTAGTTTTTAGTACTTTTGGTATGTTGACTAGTAGTTCTTTTGGTGATTCAAGAGGTTAAAATCAATGGTGTTTTTTTTTACAATCTACCCTTACATTACATTGACCATGTTAGAAGAAACAGTCATGCATAATTATCTTCATTGAAGGGCTGAAAATCATCTCTGATATCTTAGTACGGACTGGTGGACTCCTGCCGCGTATTTTTTGATTCGTAGATCTGTCAAAGCACCCACTGTATCACGTGAAATGCTTGATTGTCGTTTGTTAACTCTCGCTGTTCTCTCACTATGCACGTAGTTAATTTTGTTTGTAATGCCGAATGAATTTTCATTTACCGTAAACAGGACGAATTCCACTATTTTTTTCACCTTGAGTCGTCATATTAAAAATCACAAGCCTTTGTCAGTGAACAGATTTGTTTTCTCTGCGTAATCACATGCACCGATAGTGGTAAGGAAAGTGGATTGTCTAAGTTAACAGATTTTATTCTATAAAATATTACAAATCTAGTCGAAAGACCTTTGCTTTACCGGTTTTAGCGGTTATACATCAAGCTGACTGGATTTTGGTAACCAGCCGCAGGTGGTCAAGTCGCTTGTATTAGGCAGCCAGATAAGTTTGTGCAGCTTTTTTTGCAAATAGGACTTAAGCAGTTTAGGGATGTTTTGTTGAAATGATCAACATTATAATGTGTGCACCTTTCCCAACGCGGTATATGCGGTACACTTTTCATCTAGGCGTAGACAATCTTTCCCCGATCCCTTTCGATTCTATCACCGCACTTTTGATCTTCAAATCTGAATTTTGTTTGGAATGTGATTGTCCAAGGCCAGGAAGGGATGCTTGTAATTATCCAGCAAAATATCATCAGAGCAGCATGAACGATAAGGGCGAGGTAACATTTCCTTCCCATCCTAATGCAAATATTCTCATGACTGTGTTTCACAGTGGTATAAGGCCTTGCATTGTCTTGGGAACGGAATATTCTTCCGACTGACTGTCTAGGCAATAAAATTTGTTCTTTTGTACCCTTGAATTGTATCAAATTGGGTGAATAAGCCCCACCCGTAATTGTCCGGTTGTCGGCATGTACAGTTGAGTCTTCATTCCATCATGCTCAAAGGAGCCAACGATTGTATTGTTAGGGGCTAATGAATGATGTGTTCTTTCGCCCTCCCATAAAGAGTCTCTCACCGGGCAAACAGTTGAAAACATTATATTGTTCTAAGATGAAAACGGATAACAATGCAGGTGGGTGACACTCATTTGCTGGGTAGCTTCTACGGCATCTTCCAGTTTATATAAGTGTAAATAAATTGCTTCCTCATTCGCATTAATCATTTTTGAACGTGCTTGGCTCAGTAACCTTGAATTATTCCACTAAGTACCGACCAATAGGAGAGAGTAGCACTGAACACTAGGCGTCCACCTTTGAGTGAGCTATGAGCACATTCGAGTTGTCCGATTGTGCTAACACATGCCACGCCTTGAAGATATGCTGGTAGCTTCCGCATTCTTGGGATTTTTGAAGTAAATGACTTATGCCACACGGGTCCAAAACAAGAAAAAATATGTGGATAGCAGAACGGAGCGTACCATAGTGATGCAGGCACATACCTTTGCCTTACAGTGTAGACATATCAACGAGAACGACGATTTCACAAGTCCCTAAATTTACAAGATCTCACTACCATGTGTCATACCGAGAGCCGAAAGCACAGTTTTGACCACGTGAATACAGGAAACGGAATTTGGGACTTTGTCTGATGTATCTTCGCCCAACTCCGCCAAAACATAAAAATGTTTTTGGACTTAAAGTAATTACCAATTAAACCTCCGTATTGCATCTCTCGATTGAGCCCGCCAGCTGCACTTCGAGCCTGTCTACCTTTTCGGTCGAGATTAACTCAGCCCCAAAGTTGTAGAGATTTCTCAGTGCAGCACTAGCTGTTCTTCCAAATAGCAAATGTTTGAAGATACTTCGATTTCATTTGTCAAATGTTGTTTTCAAAAAATGTGCTTTTTGCAACCCGATCAATGAAGCGGCGCCAAATACGATACTCGTATTGCCTCTGAAGATACGATGAAGGATAGGCCTTAGGACTGGCAGACTCTTGGCTCGTCCTCTGCACGCTCTGGGGTTGACATGACCCAAAACTTGCACTTTTGCGGTTTAGTTCTCTCCGCTAACTTTTTGTAACTTGTAGGGACTTGTAAAATACACAGATATGAGTCGGTCTAGTACACTGTACTATTTTCCTCTTATTTCTAATCCACATATCATAAAGTGTTGGTCGAATGTTTGTCTGCTTTGTGATACTCATTATGTCTACTTGACAATCATGCTGGAGAAAGGGCAGAAGTGGAACCATATACCATTTAGACGTGGTTATTATTCAAGATCCATTTGTCCAGAATAACTTTTAGCAGTGTGTGGCGTGAGCGACGAGGTAAGTGACTTACCCCTACATCAAACGGGAAAGTCGCGGTGGAGGTCACCAAGCCAATGTGCTTTATATGCCACGTATTTGATAGATGTCAGATAATGAACTTCAGACCTTGACAATTTGTTGTTTAAACACGTGGTTGGTTTGTGGTGAGAAATGATTTTTGTTTCTTGACATTTGTCAAACAAAAAAACATCATTTGCTACGTCCAAACGATCCAATCACTGTCCCGCTCTACGCGCCACCGCATCTCCACGTGATTGTGCTTGTTTTGAAGATACAATTGTTTAGTGTGATTTTTTCACTTGCTGAAGGCTAGGCAGTACTTATGGCAGTGCTTTATTTATTTGATGTAACTTGAAGGTATACAGGAAACGGTTTTTTTCCTTATAAACAACCAGTACTAGTGAATCCCCTACTCCCACGAGGGAGTGCCAACCCTCAGGCTACATACCAAAGATACCTATCCGTGAGAATATATTCACGTGATTAAATTATCACACTTTCTTTTACCATTAAAAGCAGACAATCCCATCTGAAGTGGATAAGTGAGGAAATAAAAGTGAGCTGAAGTGGAGGCTGTTTGCCTCTAGAAACAAAAAGTGGCGACTAGCTTGCGTCTCCATATGGCATGAACTGGGCACTGTAATTTGGGTTGTTTTGTGGAATAGTTTGTTTCTAAAAGGATTTTTCACAGCTCTTTAGTAATTTATTGTAAGGAATAGCATTTTTCCTCACTTAAAGATGTAAAAAGAAGTGACACCCTTTAAATACTGTGACCGTAATATTTGACCCATTTCGTATCTAAATAGGTTAATTCGGAGGTGTAAAGGCCACAATTTGACAGTGATCCTGAATTTTGATTCGAGCTTAAAGTTTTGCTTGATGTTGGCTCAAAATAATTTGGAATTTTACGATTCTACATTGATCATAAACTACCAGGAATAGTTTATTTAAATCCTAATTGAGTAGTATTCACTGTCACTTAAACAACGACCGAACCAGGATAATAATTGCCCTTGAACACAGATTCAAGTGGGCAAATTACTCTAATTATGATCCTTTTTTTTCTACTAGAGATGAGGGGCATAAGTAAGTGACTCAAGAATGGCATTTGAAGGTAGCTCGCTTATGGCGAAACAAACATGTCGCAAAGTGACCTACTTAAGGCGAAATGAAATGTTGAAAGAGGGTCTTGCGACTGAAAAGCTTTACTCTCGTAGAAGAAATATCACTTTGACGAACTATTGTACACATCTTTGAGGGGGTGTGTGGGTGGATTCACGTGTTTATCTTTGCCAGATCACGTGATCTCATCTAAGTAATGCTGCAATAGTAGTTTCTGATAGGTCTGATTACCCCTTTTTAATTCTTTAACAGCTGAAGAGACTTAAACATCTTATTCGACTCAGAATTCAATATCATCAGACTAGACTGCTCCCCTTGATATGATGCAAAATAGACTCACACTCTTATGTGTTGACACTCTTTAGGGATATCTGTTGCAGACGCTGTAGTATGCACTGAATTGTGCTATGCTAAATTGTAGATGAAATAAGTGTTTCTTCGTTTTCTGCCTTTTTTCATAGGTCTGGAAACCAGGTGTCTGCACCTACTAATTTTTTCATAGTATTTGTGAAAGTCCTCCGGGTTTACGGATTCTTTAAAATGTTAATGAAAAGGGTGTCTAGCATACCCTGTGGGCGTAACTTTTGAGTTGCCTCGAGGATGTTATGCGGAATACCGGTTCTAGGCGGCTGATGGTAGAACTAGACCAGCAGTGCAGGGACTAGTTCACTTCTGGACCATGTTATTTCATCTAAGTTGCTAATTTGTGGTTGAGGTTGAAATCGCTAACAATGAGACAGTAAATTGTCATTGGTTGGTTGTAATGATTAGTGGCGAATCGACATCCTATTTTCCTGTTTTTGGGTATCCAAATTCATTTACTGACTTCATCTCAGTAGCATTTATCTTTCCATTCAAGAAATAGTCAGGCTGCTGCACCCCAACCCATGGTAGAAATTGCGGGAAACAGGAGAAATCGCAACCAACACGTTGCAGTGGCAGTGAGCTCCAGTTTCTGGGCTGAATTTATCCGCGCCCTTTTTGATCCCTCGCCTCCACTGACACCCGAAAGGACTCAATCAAGATGGGGCAGTGCGGCGCAACCACATCTTCGTCTCCCGCGTTCTGATTGGTCAGAAGGAGTGAGTGAGGCCTCTGGACGACCGTCGGCTGGTTCCTTTGAGGATGATAAGTCTCTGCCGGAGGGATGGGGTAAGTGATAATGGTCTCATTTATTATGAAAGGCGTTCAAGTGCAGTCGGGTGTCGGGATGACAAAAGAATTTGAAAAAAATTCAGGAAGTAGAAGCTGTATTTATTTTATTGCACATTTATACACTTACTCCCCAGCTTTGATCAATTCATGGGAAGTTTTCACATAAAAGGGTTTACTGTTACTATTGAATAAACCCAGGGCAACCTGTTCCCTGCTTTTCTGTCAGCTATTGTGCGCCGACTCTTCCAAATGAAAGGGGTAGGAGGTGTCACTATTCCTACAGAGGGACTACTTATGTTTTGGCAGTTAGACGTCTAGTACTAGAGCGATATTTCACGCGCTATTTTAATGCTCACGGAAATGTCCCTGAGGCTTCTGCTTAAGGGCCACTGCAAACTGGATCTTCGCGAACAGACGTACGATCGTTGTCTTTAAAGTTCTGATGCTATTCAAATGTTGAGAGGTCGACCGACAATTACCTCATCACCCTGTCGTACCATATTTAAAGCCTTCTATTGCTACAAGTAGGTCCATCTTAGCCTTACAAAAGTGCTAGGAAGGTTGTACCTCCATGCCACCGTCACAGACAATTAAAAGTGTCAGGTGACTTATGGGTTTATGCGGTTTGAGTAATATCATTTCTTCATTCGTCAGGGGGGGATGGACTGCCAGAATCAGACAACTAAATAATTTCAGTCAGTAATACAATCCTGCCATTCTCGTCTCTAAAAGCAGACATGCTAGTTTCAGTCATTGCTTTTAAATATACATACTCTGTTTGCTAATACTAGTCAATAGGAGAACTACAAAGGAAAAGCGGAAGGCGAGGATAAGTCAGTATCTTTTTACGGATATATTTTGCGTCAACTTGTTCAAATGGCACTTTCATCCGAATGATCTTCCGGGTGTGGCTGCTTCTCAAGA